GCTACATTAGGCTCTGCCTGCCTGGCCTGCCTGGTCCCCCATGGCTGTCCGGACCCTCGTGCAGTGTCAGGGGCTGCCCTCCCAGCCTTCTTGGTCCCCTATGGCTGCCCAGAAACCACAGGCAGCCTCAGGCACTGCCCAGCCACTCTGCCTGGATCCCGATGGCTGCCTGGACCACAGGGGCAGAGTCAGGCACTACCAGCCAGGCCTATCCCACCCTGATGGCTGCTTGGACACTATGGGTGGTGGCTGGTGCTGCCCGCCACTCCTGTCTAGCCCCTGATGGCTGCCTGGACACCACAGGCGGTATCAGGTTCTGCCTACCTGGCCTGACCGACCCCAATGGCTGCCTGGACACTGCGGGCAGAGTCAGGTGCTGCTCGCCAGGCTTGGATCCTGGGGGTGGCGTCAGGAACTCCCCACACCCCCACCTGCTTACCTATCAGCTCAACCCTGCAGATGATGTCAGGTTTTGCCTGCCTGGCCTGCCTGGTCCCCAATGGTGGCCTGGTCTCAGCTGGCAGTGTCAGGCGCAACCCGCTTCTCCTGCATATGCAAATTTACCCTCCATCTTTGTTGGCTTAATTTGCATACCACTCACCATTGTCTGTGAACATAACAAAGATACGATCAATTAGCATTTTTCTATTTTATTAGTGTAGATATTTTTTTATTGAGCTATAGTTGACATTACCAGTATATTAGTTTCAGGTGTGTAAGGTATAATTCATTTTTATATACCACTTTTGTATTTTAATCTTCCTTCCAGCATTATAACTGGTTGATCTACTACACTTACAACTGTTTGCCATTATCAGTGAACATTTTTCCTTTCCAATATTTTCTTATTTTTGTTTTGGTGTTTTCCATTTAAAGAAGTTCCCATAACATTTCTTCTAACACTTGTTTAGTGGTTGAACTCTTTTAGCATTTGCTTGTCTGGAAAACTCTTTTCATCCCTTTAATTCTGAGTGCTCTATCTTTTCTGGATTTGCTAGGTTGTAAGTGTACGTTTCTGCCTTTCATCACTTTGAATATTTTGTGCCTTTACCTTATCTGCTGAAAAATCAGCTGATGGTCTTACAAAGGTTCCCTTGTATAGTAGCTGCTTTTTCTCTTGCTGCCATTAAGATTCTTTAACTTTAGGCATTTTGAATATGATGTGTCTTGATATGGGCCTCTTTGGGTTCATTTTGTTTGGAACTCTCTTTGCTTTCTGGATTTGGACATCTTTTTTCCTAACCAGGTTAGAAAGTTTTCAGTCATCATCCCTTTAAGTAGGTTTTACATCCCTTTCTCTATCTTCTCCTTCTGGGACCCCTATGATTCAAATGTTGGCACCCTTGATGTTGCCCCATAGGTCCCTTAAACCATCCTCATTTTTTAAAACATTATTTTTTTCTTTTTGCTGTTCTGATTGACTTTCACTACCTTGTCTTTCAGCTTGCTGACTCATTCTCCTGCCTCAACTAATCTGCTGTTGATTTCCTCCTCAGTATTTTTGTTTTCATTTAAATGATCATATTCTTCAGTTCTGATTGGTTGTTTCAAATATTTTTCTATATCTCTATTGAATTTCTCACTGAGTTCATCTATTTCTCTCCCAAGTTCATTATTCATTGAGCATATTTATAACTATTGTTTACTTTTAATTCTTTATCTGGTAAATTGCTTATCTCTGTTTCATTTAGCTCTTCTTATTTATTTATTCATTCATTCATTTATGTTTCCTGTCTCTTTATTTGGAATACATTTCTCTGTTTCCTCCTTGTGTCCATCTCTCTATGTTTGTTCCTATGAATTAGGTAAAGCAGCGACCTCTCCAGTCTTGAAGGAGAGACTTGTTTAGGAGCTTCTCCTCTGTAGACTCTGTGTGCCAGCTGTGTTTAGCAGGCTAGCTGGATCTGCAGTGGGGGTGGACCATGGAGAGCCCTGCGGGTAAGGTGACTTGAGACAGAGCTGGAGTGGGAGTGGGCCCAGGGAGCTCTGGGGCTAAGGGTCCCTGAGATAGAGTGGCGTTGGCTGTGGAGGTCCTAGGGACAAGCCACAGAGCCTGTATGGGCCTGGGGCCTGGGACCTGAGCCTCGAGTGCACCCTGGCCACCAAGGCTGGCTAGCTGAGGCCCTGAAGTATGACCCTCCCAGGAGATCAAGAAGGAGGGAGAGTGGCGATGAGTGACTGGCTCTCTCCAGGGCACCTGACACCAGAGAGGGCTCCTGCAGTTCCCCTCTCACTAGGAAGATGTTCTCCTTTAGTAAATGGATTTCCCTCCTTAGAGTCTACGTGCTCTTTCAGCCACTGTTTTTCACTTCACCCAGAGGAAGCCAGTCTGCACATACGTCCTCAGGGTCCCTGCCTCCTGCAGGCCAGTGCTGCGGTGGGGTCTCCATGGTGCCATGTCTCTGTCCGTCCCCCATGTTTCTGTGGGATTTCTCTCTGTTGGTCATGCAGACGTTGTTCAGTGGGCCCTCATTTCCTCTCCAGGGAAGTTGCTGTGTCTGCAGGTGCAAATTTAATGTGAAATGGGAGGAGGGGAGCTCAGGGCTTTTCTTCTCTGTCCTCTTGGCCTGGAAACCCTTGATTACTTTTTAGCTGTTTCCCATCATATACTTCTTGTCAGTTTGTTTCTATTGCTATAGTTTGCTGTTTGTTTTGTTTTTATGTGTTGCCTTTTAAACTTTTGATTTAAATTATTATATAACATATTTAATGCTCCTAAAGTTAAAACCATTTAATAAGATACATATTCAGAAAAGTACGGAATCATTCAACCTATTTCCTCGTGTTGCCCTGTAGACAACCATTTAAAAATCTATCCCCTGCCGAAACCTGTTTGGCTCAGTGGATAGAGCATCAACCTGCGGACTGAAAGGTTCCAGGTCCGATTCCAGTCAAGGGCATGTACCTTGGTTGCGGGCACATCCCCGTTAGGGGATGTGCAAGAAGCAGCTGATCGATGATTATCTCTCATCAATGTTTCTAACTCTCTATCCCTCCCTCTTCCTCTCTGTAAATAAAAATCAATAATATATAAATATATTAAACAAATCCATCCCCTGTTTCTATAGACAGATGACTGGCAGGTAGGAAAATAAACAGGTGGATGAAATGAACAGGTTTATCTCTAGGTCCTTTCTCCTCCTCTGTCTTATTAAACAAAACGCTGCATAAACTCTGCTGCTCTTGCTCACACACACTGGGAGGCCCCCCACAGGAGCTCTCCCGCTCCCTCAGTGCAGAGGCTTGCATGCTGGTGGCCCAGCAGGGAGCCTCACGCCCCCCTGGTGCCCAGCATTGGCCCTGGTTGGTGCTCAGAGGGGACACACGGGGTTTCTTGTGACAGACAGGGAGGTTGCCCACACGCTGGAGGCCTCAGAAGCGCCCCTTTCACGCTGGAGGTGCAGCTGTGTCCTGGTGGCCTCGGGGACCGGCTCCTGGGGACGGTGTGCCTCAGGGCAGTCAGCACAGCACGCGTTCATCTGAGGCACAGAGACTGAGGTGTGGAGGCCATCATAGACTAACACCGTAAAAGGGAGCTTCAGGAGGTACCTGGTTTAGTATCTTCTTTTAAAAAATTAGAAAAAAAGAGTGAATAAAACATGGTTATAGAAACCATATCTTTCCAAGTGGCCAGCTTTTTTAAAAAAAAAAAAAAACAACACAATTTTTTATTTATTTATCAATTTCAGAAAGGAAAGGAGTGGGAGAGAGAGATAGAAACGTCATGATGAGAGAGAACCATGATCAGCTGCTTTCTTCACGTCTTCCACTGGGGATCAAGCCTGAAACCTCGGCATATGCCCTGACCTAGAATTGAACAGTGACCTCCTGGTTCATAAGTTGACACTCAGCCCCTGACCACAGCAGCTGGGCTGGCCTGCGGTTCTTACACTTGCTGTCTCCTCTCTGCATCCCTGGGGAAAGGAACCTGTGGGCTGCTCTTTGAGAAGCACCGACGTGGGAGACCACCATGTTCAGTCCATTGTAGGCTCTCTCCTGGCTCAGGAACCAGGCCGATTACAGGATGGAAAACTCGTGAAAAGAAGGAAGGGACTAAGAAAACCTTTTCTTTCAACTTCCTGTTTTTAAAGCCCTGTGAGGCAGATTATCTTTACTCTATATTTAATTGAGGAAAACTTTATAAGGAAACTAGAGGTCCGGTGCATGGATTGGTGCATGGGTCATCAGGGGAGTGATGGGGGGCTTGGACAGGACTGGCCCTCCGAGCGGGTGGTGGGATGCCCTTGCCGCCCGGGATCCGGATCCATCCCACTGACGTTCACACCAGTTGTCAGAAGCCAACTGGTGGCCGCTTTATATCCTTTCTTCCCTGTGCAGCATCTAGGACGGGGAAGCAGCCGCTGTGCCTGAGGCTGGCGGCACTGGGGGATTCCAGGAGGCCGGTGGTGCTGTCGGTATCATGCTGGTGGCACTGGTCTGTTGGTGCCTGGCCCATTTTTGGAGATTGGACCTGTAGGACGACTGAGGGAGGGAGTGGCTATTGCCAGGCTGGTGGGCTGCTGGGCTTGGTCTGTCAGCTGAGCAGCACTCCTGTTGTGGAAACACACTAACCACCAGGTGGCAGCTCCAGAATTGAGTGTCTGCGTCCTGGTGTTCAGTGTATGTCGTAATGATCATTCTGTTGCAATGGTCGTTTAAGCTTTTATACATATAGAAGGCTTTTATATATATAGACCAGAGTCCCAATACACAAAATTTGTGCACGGGGAAAGGGGAGTCCGCAACCCAGCTTGCATTCTCTCCAATCTGGGAATCCACAGGGATGGGGCCTAAACAGGCAGTCAGAGGGCAGAGATCCCTCTCACAATCAAGCTCCTATCCACGTGCTGCTTCCTAGCCTGATTGCTGCCTAACCCTTCCCCTGCCCTACTCTGCCAGCCTGAACACCTGTAACCGCCTCTGCCTCTGGTTCCACCACCGTATGTTTGTCCATAAGGAAGTTGGATGTTTGGAAAATGTAAGGTCACATAGTCTAATTAGCATATTACCCTTTTATTAGTGTAGATGTGGGCAGAGGTGAGCTAAGGAGCACAGCAGACAGCGAGGGTTGAACACAAAGGGAGGGGGAGGATGGAGCTAAGGCCCTGCAGCCAACACTGGGCCTCCAGGTCCAGGGCAGGGAGGAACCAGCAGGGAGGAGCAGCTATGGGGTCAGGAGCCAGGACCAGCCAGAGCCCAGGCGGCTCTCCTTCTGAAGTGAGAGCCCAGCAGGAAACCTCTTCAGGCTGCGAAGGGGTCAGAGAGAAGCGTCTATCCTGCCCCTGAATCCATGGCCGCCTCAGCTCAGGAGCTCTGCAGACAGAGCACAGTGCAGTTCCCAGGCCCAGCCAGCAGGGGCGCTGCCCTCCCAGGCCTCCTGCTGTGGCTCCCAAGTGAGAAGAAGCTCTGAGGCCACAGGAGGCAGAGCTGCTCTAGAGCTGCCTCTCACCAGCAGGAGGAGGCTCTGCCGTGTGGGCGGGGCCAGAGCCACCCCAGGCTCCCCTTCTGTCCCCTGGCTCCTCCCCTGCACCTTCTGTTCTAGGGAAAGCCAATGGGTCCCTGAGAGGATTAAAGAGCCTTACCTGTGGGCTGAAGTCCAGAGTGTCCTGGGAAGAGAAGGAAGATGCTGCTTAAACATAGGAAGGTAAGTGTGACCCAAACACAGGGTCCCCGCCCAGGCCACCTGAGCTTGTCTAGCAGCACCCGCACCCGCTGACCCCAGAGCAGAGCCCAGAGCAGGGCCCGAAGCCCTCACATCCAGAGTCCTCAGTGACCGCAGGGCCTGCTCCTCCATGTGCCCCAGGATCTGCACCCAAAGCCCGTGCGTGTGAACCCGTCTCTGCCCACAGCCCTGGCTCCTCATGTCTCCACCCTGAGAACCGGGGCTAGTGAGTCTGCGTTTCCAGGACACGGGAGACCCACAGGGAGAGAGAGGCCTCTGGGGCGCTGCCACCCCAGAGCTCACCCAGCAAAGCCCCGTCCCCCACCCTCTGGGGCCTCGCTGCCAGCGGCTCCTCACCTTTCCGCGCCCTGAAGGAGATGAGCAGCCCCGCCCCGAGGAAGAGCAGCCCCAGCACGAAGCCCCCGGCCCCACTCAGCACCTTGCTCCGTGCGGATCCGGACTGGGCCCCTGGGAGGGGAGGCTGGTTTCAGAGGGTTTAGCCCAAAGCACCTTCTCTACTGAGACCCTGGGGGAGGGCTGGGGGAGGAGGGTCTGGGAGGGATGCCCTAGAGCAGCGTTTTTCAACCGCTGTTCCGCGGCAAAGATGTTGCCTGGTGTGCCGTAGGTGCAGACAAGACAAGAATTTTATAATTTTTCACTATTTTGTTTACTTAATATTTCATAATTAAGTAATTATAAAATACTTTCTTTGTGTTTATTTGATTCCTATTCAAGAGAACTACTTTATATATAGTCCATATAGGCACAGAGTTAAATTTTTTAACATTTTCTAATGGTGGTGTGCCTCGTGATTTTTTTCATGAAACAAGTGTGCCTTTGCCCAAAAAAGGTTGAAAAACACTGCCCTAGAGGAAGCAGAATAGCCATTTTCGGGAAAGAGACTGAGGTCACACTGAGCAGGTAAAGGCCCAGTCATTGGCTTCAGGTGCCCCCACTCCGGACCCAAGGCCTCTGCTTCGGCCTCTGAGGGCTGCGGGGCCCGGGCGCGGTGACCCTCGGTACTTGGCCCAGGTGACAGAGCCGCAGACGCAGAGCAGACGGGGCTCTCCCGGGCAGGAGGGTCCCCCGCTGTGGAGGACACGCCTCCTCCCGATCACAGTGGGCAGCTCAGCGCAGGCAGAAGCACCCGCCCAGCCCACAGGGGATGGTGCCAGGGCCAAGGGGCACCATGAGGGGAGAGGGTGGGAATGGAAAGCAGGGCAGGAATGGTGGTCCCAGGGCTATGGGTGTCCGCAGAGCGATCACAGGGCTGCCCTGTGGCCTGTGCTGAGGGAGGGACCCCAGCAAAGGAAAATGGGGTGTGGGGAGAGGGACCCTGGCCCTCAGGGACAAGCAAAGGCCCCTGTGGGGGGTGAGGGGGTGGACCGGGAGGTCAGAAGGCGTCTCACTCCACTCCACGCTGGTGGGGCTGGTGCTGCTGGGGTGCTCCACTTGGCAGGTGTAGACCTCCCCGCTCCGGGGCACTGTTTCCAGCATCACCAGCATCTGGAAGGTCCAGTCCCCGTTCCGGATCAGGCCCGTGGACACCACCCCGGCCTGCTCTTCCTGGCCGTCCCGCAGCCAGCGGACCTCAATGTGGCCCGGGTAGAAGCCGTTCACGGAGCAGACCAGGAGGTTGTGCTGCTGCAAGCGCTGGGTCTTTGCAGGGGACACAGTCACTGTGGGCGCAGCTGGGACAGAGGAGGCGGAGGGAGACGTGAGCAGACACGAAGCCCCTGGTTCTCCCCTTCGGCCTCATCTCTGGTCTGAGCCCCAGGCCTGGGCAGGCCCCCCTGAAACCGCCCTGTGGCCCCGCAGGAGGTAGTGCCATGGGCCTTGAGTCTCCTCCTCCAGCCGGGGCCCTGGATGGGAGAGATGCTGGAAAACAAATCAGTTTCACTAAAATAGAGATGTTGACAGGAAGCCAGGAAGGCTGGTCAACAACCTTAATTGCTCTAACCTTTAGTTGAGATATTGTTAGCTGAAGCAGAATCTACCTTATTTGTCCTGTGTAAGTTTCTGTTATTTCCTGCCCAGGGAAATTTCTGTTTATCTTGCCTAAGATGTTTTCCCCAAAGCCTCAATAAAAGGGGATGGCAGGGCCAGAGCAGGAGTAGTTCTCCCACTAGAGTTGGACTACCGCCTGGTCCCCCGTTTCACCAAATTGAATTTCTTCAAGTCTCTTCATTTGTGTGCGGCCCTTCTCCAGAAGCTGAACCCTGAATTGGAACTCTTTCTACGCGGGCCGTGAAAGAGAGTCCTATATTTGGCGCCTTCACCGTGGGACTTCTGGAGGAGAAGGTATTTTTCGCCTAAAAGCGAAGGAAGGAAAAAATTACACCTGGAAAAGGTGTGGAAAATTCAACAGAAAAGGTGTGGAAGACTCACTGGAAAAAAGGTGCAGGAAATTCACTGCACTCAAAGCCCACGGCCAGCTGCAGAGTCGTGAACTGTAAGAGGGTGGGAACGTCTTTGTCAGTCAGGCTAATGGGGAAGAATTAGGTTATAAATATAAAGTGAACTTTATTATAGAATTTGGTTTGTATGCTTAAAGAATGTGGTTTCTTGTTAAAATCTTAGTTTGTATTTAGAATTTAAAATCTGTAATAAGAAATGAGACTTCACAGCTGAAACTCCCTCTGGAGCTGAGAAATTCAAAGGTGGCAGGAGAGGGCAAGGCTATCTGCTCTCCTGCAATGAGATTCCTTAAAGTTTTCTTTAAAAATTATAAAAGAATTCGCAGGGAAATGCTGATCTTGGCCAAAGTGGGTGCTAGTTATTACTTCCGAAAGCAAAAAAGAAAGAAAAAATGTAAGACCTGTCTTTATCTTTTAAGCATGAAAAACTGTGTGGCCAGAATTTTTGCTGAAACTTCCCCCAGAGCAAAGAGGACTTGGGAGATCCAATCAGGAAGCCCGCTCTCCAGTGTGCTGAGGATGTGGTAATTCACATTTGAATGGCTATAAACTTCCTCCAAACTCCTGTGGCAACATTTTTTTTTTGGAAGTTGGCCTAATTATATAAAGAGTAAAGTTTAAATTTGCCTCATAAAATATCTAGAGGACAGAATGGAAACTCTTAATTGACTATGGTTTGTATTTTTCTTAGAAATGTAAAGTGTTGCCGAAACCGGTTTGGCTCAGTGGTAGAGCCTCAGTCTCTGGACTGAAAGGTCCCAGGTTCGATTCCAGTCAGGGGCATGTACGTTGGTTGCGGGCACATCGCTGGTAGGGGGTGTGCAAGAGGCAGCTGGTCGGTGTTTCTCTCTCATCAACGTTTCTAGCTCTCTCTCTCTCTCCCTTCCTCTCTGTAAAAAGATCAATAAAATATATATTAAAAAAAGAAATGTAAAGTGTTATTAATCTAGGACATGCAAAATATATTTGACTCACCAGCTTTAAAAGTTCAAAGTCCAAATTAAATGGGGAGAAGCTATATAGTTAAAATGTATTTTCTTTCATGATTAAGAATTCAAAATAAGTTGTTTATTATTAGTTTAATTAAAAAAGAGGATTAATTCTGTGATCTCAACCAAATATTTTCTATGCAAAAACTAGTCTAAACATAATTGATATCTTAAGATAATAATAGATAATAATAACAGGTATTATAATATTTAAATCATACATAGATACTTGTTTGATGGTTTTTTTCCATGTTAAAATTTCAAGGCCTTAACAGAGATGATTCTTGGAAAGCTCCAAGGGCCCAGAGTAATATAAGAAATTTATTCTTTCTTCTTATATGAAAACTCGTTAAAACAGATCTAATATACTTAAAATTGCATGGAAAGTCTTATCAAATGAAAAATTAATAGATATATATTAAATGTTATGAAAGTTTTCGCCTGAAAGAAAGGCAAAAACAATATATTTTTTCAATATAGCCAAAATTTTCAACAGCAGTAGAATTTCAATAAAGACAAAAAGGCTCCATGCAGCCTGCATTTTGGAATTGGCTGTAGGTAGGACACTGTTTATGCTTTTGGATCAGACCAATAAAGTATCAAACCTATAAATTTTACTGAATAAGTTTCTTTGCTTTTTTATTTTTAAATTAAAGATACCTACTTAAGTTACTTTATAAATTAGCTTTTACAATATAATCAATGTCATATAAATTAAGTTACATGAGAAGCCAATATTTTATAAATAATTGAATCCTAACTTTATGTTGCCACCTGCATTTTTAATTAAGCTAGAGTAAGGGCAACATTTGTGGCTTGTGAATTCAAAAGTAAATTTGCTTTATTTTTAAAATGAAGATACCTACTTTAATTACTTAAATAAATTAGATTATTAAATTATAATCAAGGTTTTCAGCTAAATGAAAAGCCAATAATTTTATAAATAATTCTAATAAAGACCAGAAACAGCTAGTGATTGCTTTATTAAATATATACATATATTTCAAATTTCATGAAGGTTTTGGCCTCTTAAGAAGGGCAAAACGAAGTAACTAAATATTTCTTCCAGTTTGAAATTGAATTATCATGGATTAAAGCAAAGAATATTTTTACATGATATTATTCTACAATGTCATTATTATTTTTGATATTTTATAACAGCATATTGTACATTTATCCCAAACAAACTTATAAACTAATTCTTTGAATGTTTGGCAGCAATTTTAAAAAGCATATGAAAGGATTTAATCCCTTCCACTGTGTGGAAGGCTCCTTGAGAAGGCACTTGGGCATTCTATATTGGCCCTTCTTGCTCTTTTTGACAAAGAGGGACCAACTTCTCACATTCCGATTACTCACAGCTGTTGCCTGAGTTTTCAAATTATGCTGAGGTTGAAGCCTCGTGGTGGCTGGCACCATGGATCTGTCCCTTTCCCAATGGCACAAGCTGGATCCTCCCTGGAGAAGAAACCTGGGTTCCCCAAGATATGTGATCAATGCCGGGGCCCCGCCAGCAGGCGAGGGGATCCCAAGGCAGGTGCTGGGCATGGAGGCCATAGGGGCAATAAGCTACCAAGGAGACAGAATTAAACCTCACATCACCCTGCTTGGCCCTGGAGGATGGCTGGTTAGCCAATGACGGGTAAGATTCCTCAAGGGAGGAACAACCTAAGACAGGCACAGCCGCAGAGGGCCATTAGGAGAGAACTTGGGGGTCAACAGAGGTGGGGCACAGATCCTCACCCCCCAACATTGCCGGGGCTTGAACCTTTGCCCCTTCTGAGGGAGGTCTCCTGCCCCATGGCTGCTTCACGCTTCCCCTGCCCAGCTCAGATCGGGACCCAGGCAACAAACGGAAACTTGTCCAGCTCAGATCGGGACCCAGGCAACAGAGACTTGGCCGACAACAGTTGCCCTATATCTAAATCTAGTCTAATACCAACAATGTTTAGAGCCTTCTCAAGGATGCAAATAATCCTTTGCATTAAGATTTACTGGGTATTCTGAAAATTATTGTTAGAATATTAAGTTTTATAGTAAAATAGCAGTCAAGTTTTCAGATTAACTTAAATTGGCTAATTGAAATAAGTAAATATTCAAGAAAATTTCATTATACCAAAAGCTGTTTCTAAAGTATTAACTAAAATTTCTATTGGTATTTCATTTCATGGTAAAATCACTTATATTTTTGTGCAAAAAAAAATTTTTTTTACTGCGTTATAAAATTTTTCCAAAAGCCTCTTAATAATTAAGTAAAAAAAGGGGGGATAGTGGAAAAATATTATGTAAGGAAACATATTCAGAAAAAAAATTTTTTCTTTAAAAACTAATTTTTATTTGTAAATGCTAACAGCAGGATGAAAAATACACATGATGTCAGAATAAGCCAAAGAAAAATCATTTAGGCAAAAAATATAAAAGGATCTCAAGTACAATTTATAGAAAAGATTCCATTATTAACTTTCGGTCGAGAATATGTTTGTATATTTTCAGGGAACAACTCCAAGACCATGTGGATTTCTGCAACAAAGAATTGACAGAAATACTCCAGCCATAATGACAAGAGGAAAAACAGAGCAGAGATGGAAGATGCTGACGACGCCTTGCCATACTAGCAGTCAGCAGATGTGCGTCGCTGCAGGTTGTCCAGGACCAAACCAGAGGTCGGACCTGCATTGCCACCATTTTTCCATCATCCGGATACCATTGCTGACATGGACTCAGAACTGCTGGACATTAAAATTTGGACTCAAAAAACTGTTGGACATTGAATCTGGAATTCAAAAACTGTTGGCCCAGTAAGAAACGTACTGCAGATTGATTTCATTTGACTCTCAGCAAAGCCATTGTTGCTTGTTTCATTTTTTGTTTATTTCTAGTCTGCATATGCAAAATTTTTAAGGAAAGAAAATGGGAGAGATGCTGGAAAACAAATTAGTTTCACTAAAAAAGAGATGTTGACAGGAAGCCAGGAAGGCTGGTCAACAACCTTAATTTCTCTAACCTTTAGTTGAGATTATGTTAGCTGAAGCAGCCTCCACCTTGTTTGTCCCGTGTAAGTTTCTGTTATTTCCTGCCTGAGATCTACATGTAAATTTCTGTTTATGTTGCCTAAGATGTTTCCCCCAAAGCCTCAATAAAGGGGATGGCAGGGCCAGAGCAGGAGTAGTTCTCCCACTAGAGTTGGACTACCGCCTGGCCCCCCATATCACCAAGTTGAATTTCTTCAAGTCTCTTCATTTGTGTGCGGCCCTTCTCCAGCAGCTGAACCCTGAATTGGAACTCTTTCTACACGGGCCGTGAAAGAGAGTCGAATAAGAGACTCTGAGGAAATCTGGGGGAGTTTTCACTTGAAACAGCTCCTCATTGCTGAATGGAAGTGTTCACAGATGTGTGCAAGGCTCAGAGTGTGTGCGTCAAAGTGTGGTTCTGGAGCAACGCTGCCTGGGGCACATCCAGGCTCTGCCTCTTCCTGGTGATCCTGGGAGATCCTCTCTGCTCAGCTCCTCACCCACAAGGGGGTGATCATACTTCTCACCGCTTAGGGACACATGAGGACCAATGGGCTAACATATGTACAACGGCGGCCGGAACGCAGCCCTCACTCTGTGTCCCTGTTTATTACATGTGGAGAGAGAATGTGAGGAGAGCAGAGGGAGAAGCTGGGCCCAGGCTTGGGGAGGGTGGGACTCAGGGTGTGGAGTCCTGGGAATGTGGTCACCCCTGGAACACAGAGATGGTCCCCCTGAAGCAGGAAGAGGGGGATTCCCCAGCTTCGGGGCTGGGTCCTGAGGGAGAGGGAGGAACAGGGAAGTCCCATTATACCACTTATAGTGACGCTCACTGAGCCACCCGCTCCTTCTCACAGAAGCCAATCTGTTATTGGGATTCCTGTCATTTATAATTGTCTCTTTTCAGTCTGACATTGGAGCTCAGGCAGGCTGGGACTCATTGACCTGTGTGCCTCCTGCCAGAGACCAGGCTCAATAAATACAATGAGGGAAGAGAAGACAAGGTGGAGGAGTTGGTGGAGAGGAAGGAGATATCTGGGAAAAATATTTTTATTTTACCCTAAAAGAATAGGTTTAAGATTGATGGAAAATCATTGCTAGCAGCCTGGGCCTGTGTGGCTCAATGGTGGGGTGTGACCCTATGAACCAGGAGATCATGGTTGGAATTCCAGTCAGGGCACATGCTCGATTGCAGGCTGGATCCCCAGTGTGGGGTGTCTGCAGGAGGCAGTCAGTCAGTAATTCTCTCTCATCATTGATGTTACTCTCTCTCTCTCCCTCTTCCTTCCTCTCTAAAATCAATAAAAATATGTATATTTTTTAAAGTCATTGCTAACAACTTTGCAATACATTTCATTATATTAAAGATGTTTAAATTCCTAAAATGGAAAACAAACAAACAAACAAACAAACAAAACCAGAAACCAGGAGCTGGAGAAATGCTGAATCCATGTCAGCAAAGTGTCCCTCTGGCTGCCTAGAGAACCGGAAAATCTCTGAGAAAAGGCCTGGACCCAGGGGTGACGGACAATAGGCCATTCCTAGAGCAGGAACAGCCATTAGCCAACACGCACGGGAAAAATGTTCCAAAACCTGAGAAATCAAAGAAGGATGAATGAAAAGTAATAATCAAAATTTCAACTGTGTATTTGGCAATATTGAGAAAGACCTAACAAATAGAATTCAAAGTAAATTGTCTCAACTCTAAAACGTTAACATGTAATTACTTCAGTACTGTCAGCGCGTGTGGATGTCACCTCAGTGTGTGAAGTCACAAAGCTACAGTGTGGAGCCTGGTCCCATCACCTGTGTCCACACAGGAGCACGGAGGGGAACAGACACTCAGACTAAAGGAGCTCAGAAAGGCCAGGGGCCCCGGGGCCCCGCCCGCCCTCACACCCAGCCTGACCCTCCCCCAGGGAGAGGCCTGTGCACCCAGCACCCCTATTCCAGGGCTCAGGGTGAGGGGGGGAGGGAGATTTGGCCAAGACAGACCTCTCTCACCTCCCACCTCCTCCCTCCCCTCTGCTCCCCAAACCCTCCCACAACTGGACACGGCTGGGCACCCCGGAAACGCCCCAACACAGGACAGGACCTCAGGGTCCCCAAGGCCGCCCCCCAGGCCCCTCAGGTGCTCCTCACAGCCCTGCGTGCGCACCTCCCTCCCGCCCCCGCCACCTCCCCCTCCGCCCAGGCTCACTTTTATGATGCACCAGGAATCTCTCATCAATCTTGTAGCTTTCTCTGCACAACCAGTGCACCGCGGCCCGCGCCCGCTCCAGTTCCTCCTTCAGGCTGTTGAAGTATTCCGCGATGGGCCGCCCCAGCTCCGTCACCGCGATGAACTCTCCCAAGTCGCTGTCGAAGCGCATGAACTCCTGCCCATTGTAGATCCATCTGCGCAGGAACCGCACCCGCTCCGTCCCGTTGAAGAAATAACACTCGAACTTAGGCTGATACAGGAAATGTGCTGCGGGGACAGGAAGGACCCTCACGCGGGTGAGAGACGATGGAGACGCCGTCCAGTGCGGGGCGCCCAGGCGGTGGGCACACAGGACCCGGCACCCACTGCCAGCACCCGCCCCCTCCTCTGGGGCCGGAGGGAGGCCACAGGCAGGGAGACCCCTGGGACCTCAGCCACTGGGGACCCACTGGGCTTCCCGCGGGGCTCCGGGCTCCAGGCTGGGCGAGGACTGTGCCATCACCGCCTCCTCCTAGATGCCCCCTCCCCCCCATCCTTTCACGATCCCCACACCCGCCCAGTGGCGTAGCGGGGGGGGGGGGGGGGGGGGGGTGGCGGCAATCACCATGATATTTAAATTTAAAAAAATATAGGTATATGTAAAACTGCAAATCGCGCCCGCGCTGATTCAAGCCAAGCAGACCACGCGGGTGCGGAAAGGGGGGCAGGTGAAGCAGGTGGTGCAATAGAAATTTTCGCAGACGTTTTTAAATGGGGGGCAGCAAATTTCCGGTCGGCCCCAGGCGACGAAAGCCCACGCTACGCCACTGCACCGGCCTCCTCCTGTCACCCCCTGGGCAGGGGACCGGTGCCAGGCCCAGCTGCCCTGGGTCCAGGCAGGAAACCGGGCATCGCCCTCCGCCCGGAGCTTAGAATTCACCAAAGTGCGGGCACAGCCAACCCCAGGCGGTTCACACAGGAGGGAGATGTCAGGGAAGGGGGTCTGGAGCAGGGACAGCAGGATCCATGTTCCTTCAGGGCGGGGCCAGTGGCCTGAGGGACAGGATGTGGCCTGAAGGATGCCTGTGTGTGTGTGTGTGTGTGTGTGTGTGTGTGATGGGGGGGGGGGGGGGGGAGGGTAGAGGCACATTTCAGGGGAAGGCACTGCCACCTGCGAAGCCTGAGGGAACCCATGGCCTCTGGGAACCAGAGACCCGGCTCTGAGCCCAGACAGTGGGCGGGAGGGGACAGAGCCTGGAGGAGTCGGGGTGCTGGGAGCCTGGGGGTGAGTGAGGGGCCTTCTGGTCCCTGTAGCGGAGAGTACTGACGAGCTCAGGGGTTACACCCCAGTCCCAATAGGGCGCCCTCTCTTTCCTGCATGTCCAGCCAGGAGGCGCAGAGACCCAGAGCACAGCCGTGGAGAGAGCCGGGGGATGGATGGGAGCTCTGACCCCCTCGCTGGTGGGGGAGTCCCTGCAGGAACGGGAGGCCCTTCCTGAGAACAGGCCTCACCGCGATGCGGACTCATAGGAGAGACTGGACGGTCAGCAGACAGGCAGTGACAGCACTCCTGGCGTTTGGACTAACATCGCATAAGGCAGATAAGAAGGAAGTTTTAGGGACCGGTTTGGCTCAATGGATAGAGCATCGGCTTGCGGACTGAAGGGTCCCGGGTTTGATTCCCGTCAAGGGCATGTACCTTGGTTGCTGGCATATCCCCAGTAGGGGGTGTGCAAGAGGCAGCTGATCGATGACTCTCTCTCATCGATGTTTCTAACTCTCTATCTCTCTTCCTTCCTCTCTGTACAAAATCAATAAAATATATAAAAAAAAGAAGGAAGTTTTAAAATTCAAGTGACTGAATGGATTCAACAAGGAAGTGGTGAATTTGTGTAACTCTGTAGTTTTTTCTTAATAAACTTTGAAAAGCTTCATTGGGAGGTGTATGTGTGTGAAGGTGAGTCTAGAATTTTCAGAAAATGCCATGTCCAGCAGTGTTCCCCACCTCAGCACTGTTCTCTGTGGGTGGGGCGGGTGCTCTGTACACAGTGGGCTGCACATGGCATCCCACCTGTTGTCAGAGAACCCCCGTGTGACACCAAACACGGCTTTAAATGTGGCAAATGTCCCCTGGGTGGGAAGGGAGAGAAGGGTTGATTTACCAACTGAGAAATCTGGAGTGAAAAAAAAACAATGTTGGTTACACAGCACTTGGGAATTACATAGAAAGTTCTACTAATATATCTGTTGAAAATCTATATGAAATGTATATATTTTAAAAATCTGGTTCCAGTGCAGAGTAATTTTTTTTAGCAAAATAAATTTGTTCAGAACCAAGATCCACCTGTTTCTTTGCCTCGCTACCAAATCACCAAGTCATCATTTATCTTCCACATCGTCTTCTTTCTTACTCTCCCGGCCACTGGCCACTGCTTGTCTGCAGCTACAGCCACAGCCATTTCATTCCATTTCAAAGTCCCAACTAATCCATGTTCTAACTGCCTCCTGCTCCCAGTAATACCAGGAGGCATCAGGTTACCAGCCTTGGCCAATGTGGACTCTCATGTCTACAGGCAGGTCCCTCAGGAGGGGAGCAGCTAAGATGACACCCCCACAGAGACAGGTTACAGAAAGGAGCAGGTCCCAGCTTTAGATGGAGACCTTCACGTAGAAATGATGGCACAGAGGAGGGCACTCTGGTCAGACCGGGTCCCTCTAACTTTACACAAATTCTCTAGTGCCTTCCTGACAAGTGAGAAGGTTGAAAAGAAACATGTGTGAGTTGTTCACTGTAGCCGGTGTGGTTGACACTATCAGGCCATGCACAGGAGCCTAACTGAACGGCCGCCTGAGAAAGCAAATAAAAATACACGATTCCTGCCCAAACCTGTTTAGCTCAGTGGATAGAGTATTGGCCTGTGAACCAAAGGGTCCCAGGATCGATTCCGGTCAAGGGCATGTTCCTTGGTTGCAAGTACATACCCAGCAGGTGGTGTGCAGGAGGCAGCTGATCGATGTTTCTCTCTCATCAATGTTTCTAGCTCTCTATACCTCTCTTTTCCTCTCTGAAAAATCAATAAAATACATTTTTAAAAAATACATGATTCCAACTTACATTTGGATTTCAGTTAAATAATTGCTATTTCTCTGAAATTCAACTTTAATCGGGCATCCTGTATTTCCTTTGGGAACAAAAGCCCATTTGCTGGCAAAATCTGAGTCAGAGGAGTGGACTGAAACTTCTCTGTGTTTCTCACAGGCTCGCAACATAGTTTGAGCCCACATGGAACTTTTCAAGATGGAAACAGCAGTCCTTGCCTCTGCTGCCCTCAACCCTGAGACACACGCTGGCACAGGGGAGCATCAGCAATCTGAGCAGCCAGTCAGACCAGCCAAGTCACTGCTCACAGTGGGGGTAGAAGCCCAGCTCTGGAATGAGGATCTACATTAGAGCATTAGCTCTTCCACTGGATCAGATCGTAACCCAGGGGCCTTGTTCTTTATCTCCAAAATAGGTTTAATGGTACTGTATTCCTCACAGGATATTGTAAATTTGGAATTAAATAGTGATTCTTCCTAGTGCCGATCATATAAGCACTCAATAAATACCTTGTTATTTTAATTTTATATTCCCTAGGAATTCAATTTTCTATCCCTTAACTTCCTAGATAAAATACTATCTTCATCACCATTTGGCAGTTGTCTTTTATTAATTTTATTATGAAATGTCATTTTGAACACAAGGTCAGAAACATTGGTCTCTGTATATAACGGGATATATATGCCCCTAATATGAAAACACTATGCTGACAGAGAAGAGAGGACTTTCTAGATTCTGAGGCCTAGTCTATGTGACCTGGTTCTACAACTAACTTTGTGACTCGGGGTCAGTAGCTTGAACTCTCTGAATCAGAGTCCATGGTCATTACATCTGTACTTGCTGCAGGGAAGACGGGAGGGTTATGAGAGTCACACACTCACAGGGAGGCCCGGTGCATAGTAACTGCCTATGTGACGGTGCTCCACGCCGGAGGGACCAGGTTTGTCTTGTCCATGACTCCACCCTCATCACCGAGCGGTGACTGTCTGCTCTGGGTCACTGATGAACAGTGGCTGTGGATCTGGTGGCTTTCATAACCAGTCACCTCTGCCTTCAAGGTCACCCAGTGACTCCTTGCTGATGACTGAGCATCTGGTTTTCACATCCCCCAGCTTCCCTTCAGGCTCCTTTGTCCTTATGCTTTAGGTCCACTGAGCCACTGAGCCCAGCCCACAGTCCCCCTTAGGTGGCAGCTCAGAGTCACTGTAATCACCCCTCACGTCTTCAGCTCCTGTCTTCTCTTCAAATGGTCCGATCAGATCCCGTCTCATGCACTCTACTGACTAGAAACTTCAACCCCACCAAACCCAGTGCTCACTGCTCTGCATGTCCTAACTTCCTGCCTCCTAGCAGTTCTCCCTACACCTGGCCACTCCCTCCTTCTGGAAAAATCTACTCTCCTCACTGCCCACATCACCTTCTCTTGGATTTCCTCACACACTGCACCCCTCCTCAGTCCCCTTTGCCGAATCATTGGCCCTTGGTCCTCTGGGCTCGACCCTTGGCAGCTTCATGTCTGCTTCTCTCTCTCTCTCTCTCTCTCTCTCTCTCTCTCTCTCTCTCTCTCTCTCTTTCTCTCACTCTCTCTCTCTCTTATACACACACACACACACACACACACACACACACACACACACCTCTTCTTCCTCCTCTACTAACCAGGAGTTGAACACAGCACATGTGTCAATGATACCAACACAAACACCCATGCCCTGGCCGGCCATGACCTCCAGGCTCCTGTGTTCAATTGACCTCTTGGCAGCTCCACACAAATGTCAGCCATTCCCAGCTTACACAGAACCTTTCTTCCTCACCACCCCCTTCAAACTGCTTCTTCCACAGTCCTTCCCATCCCAGTACACAGCTCCACCAAGTTTATTCTAATTATTGAAGATGAAACCCAAGGATTGTGACTCCTCCCCCATTTCAGCCATAACATGCCATGGAAATATCTTCCCCAGTTCCGCTCTCTTCCCCTTTCCCGCTGCCTCCGCCGCACACACTCACTGAAGCCCAAGCTCCACACCTGGGCACTCTTCCATGCTCCTCATGGCCCCGCCTCCTCTTGTGAGCCCTGCAGTCTAACCTCCACCTGGAAGCTGGGATCATTGCTTTTAATAAACATACGTGGATGCTCCTTGTAATCCTCAGTAGTTCACATGTCTCTTCAGATAAAATTCAAACTTCTTACCCACCATCAGGGCCCAATATGATGTGTCTCCCGTCTTCTCCAGCCTCTTCACATGTCAGTGTCACTCCCCAACTTGCTCCTGTGCTGCAGCCACGCTAGCCTTCTTCCTGCCCCTCTAACACGGCAAACATGTTCCCACACTGTGGCCTTCCCCGTTCCTCTCCCTGGGACACTTGACCCCTAGATCTTCACATGTCGGCTTCCCTCATCATCCAGGTCTCAAATGCCTCTGAGTGTCACTACCTCCGGGAGAGCTTCCTAACCACTTCAACTGATGACCTATAACCCTGGAATATTATAAAAAACAAACAAACAAACAAACAAACAAACAAAACAATTATTGCTCTGAATTTTCTGTCTTAAGGGGTTCAGGGAGACAGGAAAGGAGATTCTGGGAGGCTCTTTTTACATCTCACATAGTAGGAAGAGGCACCAAAATCACAGATTCTGTTCAGGACAGAACACAGGATCCTCAAAGAGAGACCCTCTAATTCCTTTTGGCTCCCATAAAATGACAGAGAAACTTTCCTTTGGGGATAATTTAATGCAATAAATGGAGCACTGGGTGGGAATTAGTCTGAGATCATTATTTCTCAATCCTCTCAAAACCCCAATGGAAGGGGACACAGGGTGGGGAGGTTTACTGGAGGCAAGATGAGAAGAAACAGCCGAGATACATGGAGGCCCTTGCACATCTCACAGTGGCCAGCACCGCCCCTTTTTGTGGTGGAAAGAATCGAGGTCATGTGATAGGCAGGTGGCCTCTGAGGAAAATGCAACCACTTTCTAAGGGCCATGGCCTGGTCACGGTGACAGAGCTCATTTCCTTTCTTCCTCACCCACAACAGCTCACCCCCAAGGAGCACTCACGTGGTGTGTACTTGGCCTGAGCCAGGGGAGGCCTCAGTGCCATCAGCATCACCGTCAGAGCGGCCATCCAGGAGCCTCCGGGGAACCGCAGGCACACCATGCTGGAGCTCAGAGAGGACAGGGGCAGGGAGCAGGCAGGTCTCACTCAGGGAGGGCTGTGACCCTTCTCCACCCATAGCCCCAATAACACCAACTAGGGAACTCATTCTTTGTTCTTTGATTGGGTCATCTCAGTATTTAGAACCAATCAGCATCAGAGGTGAATAGCATCACCAGTTGCTGGTCAGAGATGCAGTAGAAAGGTCCTCTTCTGATACTTAGAAATTCCTCCATTAAAAGCATGGTTATTTCCAGGTTTGGGGTATTATAAATAAGTCTTCTGAAACTTAAATAAAAGCTTTGATTTAGGCTTTACAGGTTTGGTCTGGTTGTGTCAGAAACACTGTGCTGGGCCCTGTTGTGAGGCAGCTCTGCGCTGGTCAGTGATGAGCACACAAGTTGGAGCCTTTGGGGGCCATTGGTCTCTCTCTCTGCAGACAGAGCCGCTTGCAAATGGGTGAGTGAGTGTGCTGGGAGCTGAGGGTGAGGGAGGTGACTGCAAGTTAGGAGGCCTTCAGTTTTGTCCTATTTTTAAAAGTCTTTATTGTTGAAAGTATTACATACTAGTATGTCCCCCTATTCCCCATGGACCTCTTCTAGGCCTCCCCTGCCCTCACCCCAGCCCCCGGCCTTCACCACACTATTGTCTGTGTCCAGGGGTTATACACACACACATAGGAGTTCTTTGTTGATCTCTCTCCACCCACCCACCCTCCCCTGCCTTTCCTCTGAGGTTGATAGTCTGCTCTGTGCTTCCATGTCTCTGTATCTCTTTTGTTCATCAGATTCCACATATGAGGAGACCATGTGACACTGTCTTTCTCTGACTGGCTTAGTTCGCTGTTGCACCACAACTGAGTGTTTAGATTTGGGGAAGTGACTCAGCCTCTCACAGTTAGAGCCCCTGTGATCTTCTAGGTGTTTCCATACTGGGAAAGGTGTGATTCTGGGGACACCTCAGGAGCAGTTCCCCTAGTAACTGATGACCTGACAGGCTGGTAGCTGCTGATTGGAGAGAATAATCAGTGAATCTTTTCAGGGGGAAGCCACTCAATGAAGGAAATGGAAAGTTGTTCAATATTTTAACCCGAGTGAAAGGTTTTCAGGTTTCTGTCCTGGTGCTGTCCCTGAGCTCAGGACACCTGGGAACACACTGGAGAAGGGGCTTAGCACATGGCATCCATGAAAGAGAAAAATAAAAGAATGAAAGGACAGCAGAAGTACTGAGGAAGAAGTCACTAATAAACTGTTAAAGAGTAATAGGATAAGGTGATTGGAAAAATAGAAAATAAAGTTTCAAAACATATAATAGAGTCCTGAAATGCATAAATGTCACAATATCTATCTATATACTGTATATGAGGCTCCTAGAACCATAAGAAATGCAAAATACTCACTATTAACAACTCTTTCTCAGATTGGCCCCCATAAAAATCAAATTGTCCCCTGTGAAGGGTGTGCCCCACGTTGGAAACCATGTCTTAAACGTTCTCATCACTAGAAATTTTATTAACTACGTGTGGTGTAGCTGTTACCCAGACTGACTGTGGTGTCATTTCCAATAGATAAAATACCCAATCTTTACGTCGCACACCTGAAACTGATATAACGCCACATGTCCGTTATCCCTCCATATAAAAGGGAGTGAACTTTATTGAGCAACTCTGAGCATTGTACTCTGTGCCCAGGATATACAGGGTTTCTTTGCATCAGATTTCTGTTTAATTCTCACATCATCTCAGTGAGCTAAGGGCCTCCATCCCTCCAGTTGGAGAGAATAGAGTGATGGCGGCTGAGGGCCTTTGCAAGGACACAAGGCAGTAAGGTCCTGCAGGTGGAGCCCACGATGTGGTTCAGACCCACTCGCTCAGCCCCTGCACCCACCACCTGACATCCACCCTCTGAAGGGCACATTCCTCCCAGGAGAAGCTCTCCCATCTCTCATTCACGGAGGTGCACGCCCACAAGCCACTCCTTCTGGAGAGTGACCGCATTTTCCATAAACGGAAGCAACTGAGCACAGCCATTCCCGTGCCTGGACCAGATTCCCGCCTCACCAGTGCACCTTTCGCTGGAAAGGACAAGGCTTGTATGTGTCTTATATAGTGACACCGAGAGCTCCCACTCACCCCCTCCCCTTCTCACAGACCACGGTGCCTCTGATTCCTAAATCCAACCTGCTGCTCTCACTCAGTATTTCAGGCTTTTCAGCAGGTTAAGTGCAAAGTAGACCACCTGAACGCAGAACAGAAAGGTTATCTCACTCACTTTGGAAAATATGCTTCTGTTCATGTGGAAGAGTCAAAATTTCTTGGCGGGGTTGGGAAGAAATTCTTCTTGTTTCTGGATTTGAGAACAAACTCTGTCCCTGACCCCCATGGTAAGTCCATACTGAGGACAGTTGTGCAGTGGCAACTAGGAGAATATCACTTTTAATTTGACAACCAGACAATCATAATTTACTCAAAATTCACTAATGGTGATGTGTGACAATCTGGGCGAGCCTAGCTAAGGCCCCCATGAGATTTGGATGAAAAGAAATGGCAAACAGGGATTCTACAAGAAGAATACACTGAGATATATTCAAAGAGAACACTATCAAAATGTGTTTATATAAATTTGACATATAATTTACAAATCACAGCAATTTATTTTTTAAAAGAATGGACTGCCCTGGCTGATGTGGGTCAGTGGTTGAGCGTCCTACTATGCACCGAAAGGTAGCTGATCTAGTTCCCAGGTTTCGGGTTCAGTCCCTTGTCTGGTGTGTACGGAAGGCAACAGATAATGTTTCTGTTTCTCTCACATCCCTGTTTCTCTCTTTTTTTCTCTCCCCATTCCTCTCTCTAAAATCAATTAAAAGAAAAGAATGTGTCAACAACTATGACTAAAATTCTGTGTGCTGTATACCATTATGTGTGACAAAATCCGCTGCTTTTATATCTCATACTTTCCTCAGGGCTGGTTGGATAGAAGGAGAATTCAGGTAAAGCAACGTAACAGCTGCCCCCACAGGGTCAGCCTGCAGGTGGGCCCAGGCCGGACCTCCCACTGAGCAGGAGGGGGGCAGCCTGCTCTGCTCCGCAGGAAACTTGGGGTCCGCCCTGGGAAAAGGCCCTTGACTTGGTTTCTGGGGGGAAGTGGTTGTCAGTTTATTGGTCATACAATCTCTGGTCTTCTCACTTGGGACCACAGCTTTGTATTTAAGGAAAATGAATCCCACCATCTTGGGATGAAATGAATAACATCAGAAGCACAGATTAAAAATTTTTTATTTTATTTTATTTTTAATGATTTCTGAGAGGAAGGGAGAGAAACATCAATAATAACAGAGAATTGGCTGCCTCCTGCACGCCTTCCCACCCGGGCATGTGCCCTGACCAGAAATAGAACTGTGACCTCCTAGTTCATAGGTTGATGCTCATCCACTGAGTACTGAGGACAGTAGCACAGAACTTTGTGGAACAACAGGCAGGTTGTCATGGGCAGCATCACACAAGGTCTTGAGCCCTCCCGTGTCACACAAGGACTCACTGTGCTGAGCCTGAAAGGTTGCAATACACCCGGGGAAATGGGTGTTAGTGATCAGCAAGCCACAGATGGCATGGAGTGTCTGCCTCTTGTCCAAGTTGTCTCAGAACATTCTCGTTGTTTCCAGAAAGCTCCCATAGCTAATTTAGAACTTAAAGTGAGAAGCAGATTGTCGGTCCCTATAGGTAAGGGGAAATGGGTAGACAGGGCCAAGGTCTTCTGACCACGGAAGACACGTATCCATGAGGGAAGGCCACCCTAGCGCTGGGCCCGGCTGGCAGCCCTGCCTGGTGAGAGGCTGTGATGTCCCCCGTAGGGACTGGGATGGACCCGTCTGTCCACGAAGCCGGTTGGCAGGGCTCAGTGGGCTTCTGAGGCCCATTCTCTGGCCTCGCTGGTCCGAAGGAGAGTGTCTGCGGAGTGTCCGGGGAGAGCAGCGGAGGGACGCACAGGCCGGCCCGCGGGTGCTGTCCCGCTTCCCTTCCCTCCGCTCTGACCCAGGCCTGCGGGACGCCATGGAGAGGAACCCACTCTTCCCCCAGCACAGATCCCGGCCAGAGGATTTTCACCGTCTGCCTGTGTCCCAGCAGCCACTGCCCAGTGGTTCCAGGCCTGTGCCTGCCACGTGGTCTCTTTGCTTCAGAATGAATGATGAAGTATGGGGGTGATTGGGGGTAGCCGTCCTCACAGCGGAGGAAGCTGCTCCTCAGGAAGAGTAAAGTGTGTAACACTCCCTCTCCCGGGGCCACTGCGCCCCCGCGGCCTGGCCTCTCCTCCTCCAGGTGCGGGAGCACCCGCCACCCTCAGCGCCATGCGGAGGCCACTCCCTGTCACTGCAGGGGCCCTGGGGGCCACATGGTCACACACAAGACAAAGAGCAAAACAAAGGCTGTCACACGGCCATCTGGACACTCTGTGGTGACCTGGGACTAAGGTACCCAGTCACACTCACAGTCCTGAATTTGGGTCAGACCTTAGAGAGAAAGCTATGGGGTTCTGATCAGTCGTTAAAATAAGAGCAAAGGCAACAGTTCACAAGAAATTAACTATGTCCACACCAGTTTGTCTCAGTGGATAGAGTGTTGGCCTGTGGATCCAAAGGTCCCAAGTTCAATGGGTTTGATTCTGGTCAAGGGCAAGTACCTTGGTTGCAGGCTCCTCCCAGGCCTGGGCCCAGGTCATGGCTTGTGCAAGAGGCATCCAATCAATGTGTTTCTCTCACATCGATATTTCTCTCTGTCTTTTCCTCTCTCTCCCACTCTCTCTAAAAGTCAATGGAGAAGTATCTTCACGTAAGGATTAAACAAAATAACAATAAAATAAAACAAGAATAATAATCCCTTTAAAAAATGATCTAATGGCTACATCATTAATCAGGGGAAATGCTTTGTAATAACCACAGCAGGAGATCACATAAGAACTCTTAGAAATTTGAAGCTGCTCCAGGAGTGGGCAACCCATTGCCATTCCCATTTCTAAGCTTTGAAAAACGCAGACCTGTGACAAGTCAGTCCTTTAGGCAATGGTCCTGCCACGGGGCAAACACACAGCAGTTTTTTAG